TTTGAGCAGGTGGCCAAGGGCCTGATGCAAAGCCATGAAGTCAATGGAAAGTCTCCCAGTGATTTCAATGAGCTTTGAATCAGGCTTTTAGGCCCAGATCCTCAAGCGTATTTAGGCTCCTAACTTCCATAGAATTTAGTGTAATTTAGCTGGATAGAGATAGAACTACGCATGTGCTTAAAGTTAAGCAAGCAGTCACGCCCTGTACTGCTCCAGGATCTCACACGGCCCGTCCCTAGTTTAACAAAGAAGCCAGTCGGATGCATGTATCCATGATTAATAATTTTCCTTCATAACCACAGTTGTGTACATAGCATTATGTTAGACTCCTGTCGCTGTGCTTAGACAAAGAGCAGTGGGGGAAGGCATCTCTGTCAACTGGCGCTAAGAATTACTAGTGGTCTGTGTTCGATCCGTTTCCTCTGATAGCACTGCTGAGTGCATAGCATCTATCATTCACATGAGACAGAAACTGAATACATTCTTTCAGCATTAAATAATGAAACCAGTGACAGTATATTCGTTAAATGGAGTGCTCTCTGTCCTTTCTTTCGTCCTTGATTCAGCTTCATTTTAACTCCAGGTAAGGACTAAAAGGCACAAAGTTACAAAAATAGTTTTTTCAGGGTTTTTTTGTTGTTGCTGTTCTTTTTTTTTTTTAAACCTATCCTCTGGGTAGGTAGTGTAAATATGGCCACAAATAAGACTCATTTTCTTTCTCTTGTTTTGAATACAGGGACAACAAGAAACCGCTGAGAATGTTGGCAAAATGTGTTCAGTTTTCTCTGCAAAAATCTCTGTGATTTTGTTGTGGCTGTGGGAGTTTTAGGTAAAATCCATACAATTTCTTCCTGGATTTTCTCACTTGTAGCCCAATTGATCTCCCTCCGCTTTCATTGACCTTGATGGGAATTGCCAGTGCTCAGCAGTTTGCAGGATGGGGCCCTTATGTTTTAGCTCCGCTTCACCCAATTCCCGTATTTTAACACTGGATCCTATTAGAAGATGATACGTGGGAGAGATTCCGATCTCATGCTCATTCTCCACTAAAGTAAATCTCTTGTTGCCACTTCTGGTTTATGCTGGTAGAAGACGTAAGATCAGAATTGGCCCAAAGAGAGTAGCTCAAGCTATTGGATTGGAGCCACCGAGCAATCATGGTTCCTCTGATGGGTGATCAAGCATCTGGTGCCATCCTGCCTCTGTCAGCAGGAGAGAGGAAATTAGCTCAGGTAGCCAAGAGTCTTCATCTCCTCCTCTGCCGACCATTGGTGCGCTGTCAGCATGCTAGCCACCATGCAGCTCAGCAAAGGGCACCATGTAGCATTGGCCAGTTGGGGGAAACCGGTGCAGCGAGAGCTACACGTAGTCTCTTGATGGGGCTGGGCAGGGAGACAGATGGAAGGGGAGGGGCGGAGCTGAATAGAAACAATCAGTGGCTTCCAAAGGCTTTGTTTGTCAAGAAGAAAAGAGAGGGCGATGAGAGGAACAGAGCAGACGCCATGGTGAGTGGCTGTTAGTTACTGAGAGGCCCACAACTGACCCATTGGCATGCGCTGGGTTGTTGAGAGCGAGGCACCGTTCCACCTGCTCTGTGTTCCGGGTGAGGTTCTTGCTCCCCGTGGCCAGCGAGGCCAGGGGCGACATGGCTGAGGTGGTGAATCCCGACTGCTGCTTCTCGGCCATGTTTCATAGCTCCCCCCCCCTCCCCAAAGTGACAGGAGTCCAACGCTCTGCCGCGGACTGCGATGTACGTGTCGTTCAGTGGACAGGACACGGGACGAGGACTCGGGAGACCTGGGCTCTGTTGGTGAGACAAACTTGCAGCCAAACCGGAGCTACTCGCTCAGGTGCTGCGACGAGTCAGCCCTCAGGCTGGCAGCAGCCACCTATCCCCAAGCAGAGCCTGGGTTAGGTGACCCCAGGCCCAGGTATTTCCACCGCCCTGTCAGAGTTGCGGCTCAGTCTGAGCAACAGCACGACTTGCCCAGGAACCGTCCTGCTTTTGCCTTGCAGGACACCAAGCTCCAGAGACTCCCAGCCCTGCCCTGACCCTGCACTAGCCTCTGCTCCTCACCGACCTGCTCCAGCCTGGCCTCCGCCTCCTGATCCTCCCGGCACCCTCGGACCAGTGGGGAGCTGGAGCCGGTTCCCACCGGTTTGCAAGAACCGGTGGTTAAATGTAGAAGCCGGTGTAGAACCGGCTGTTAAAGAGGCGGGGTTGTGGGCAAACAACTCCCGTCTGCAGGCCACATCCGGCCTACGGGACCGTCCTGTCTCTGGCCGGCCTGAGCTCCCAGCTGGGGAGGCTCCCCTGGCCCCTTCCCCACTTCCCCCCACCCTCGCAGAGCTGCAGCGCGCCGCCAGTGCTTTGGGCAGCTCCTGCCGCTTTGAGCAGCATGGTAAGGGGGACTGAGAGCTCCAGCGGGCCGCCTGGCATCCTTACACGCTGCCCTGAGTAGCATGGTAAGGGGGCTGGGCTGGGGCTGGGGCTGGCGCTGGGAGGAGGGGTTGGATAAGGCAGGGGCTGGACAGGGAGTGGTTGGAGGGGACGGAGGTTCTGGGGGGCAGTCAGGGGATGGGGAACGGGGGGGTTCGGGTAGGCGTGGGAGTTCCGGGGGTCTGTCAGGTGGTGGTGGATGGGGTCGGGGGAGTCAGTGGACAGGGAGCGGGGCGAGTTGGGTAGGGGGAGGGGAGGGGTCCTGGGGGGCAGTTAGGGTGGGGGCTCTCGGGAGGGGGTGGTCAGGGGACAAGGAGCGGGGGGAGGTTGATGGGTTGCTTGCGGCTAGGGTGACCAGATGTCCCGATTTTATAGGGACAGTCCCGATTTTTGGGTCTTTTTCTCATATAGGCTCCTATTACCCCCCACCGCCTGTCCCGATTTTTCGCACTTGCTGTCTGGTCACCCTACTTGCGGCCCTTGTGGGTTCTGAGGGGGGCAGGACATG